TTTTTTTTTTTTTTTTTTTTTTTTTTTTACATGATTCTATTTTTCTCACTGTCTGGCAATATATTCTCTTTTCAGCTATTTGTGGTCTACAGTAAAGCTGAATTTTGTCAGACACAAAATTTAAGGCATGTGTTGGATGTAAGGCATTAGATACTTAGTGCACAGGGACTGGAAGAAGGAATGAGGAGCCTTCCATCTTTATAGATCATTGGAATAACGAATGACAGCAGATGAAGATCCCTTGGTCAGGAATGGGAGGGTCAAACCTTACTGTGGATGACTCAGAAGGAAACCATTGCCCATCTGGAATCCTGCAGGACGGATCATGAGATCTCTGCCTAGACTGACCCTGTTACCCTATTCCATTACAGCACAGGGGATGAACACAGCCAGGGAAACTGGGGTCTCTTGGACCAGGTGGCTGCATTGCGCTGGGTCCAGGACAACATTGCCAACTTTGGAGGCAACCCAGACTCTGTGACTATCTTTGGAGCGTCAGCAGGAGGTTCAAGTGTCTCTTTTCTTGTAAGTATTCTTGACATCAAGCCTCTTCCCAGGCTTGATGTGGCTGTTGATATGGCCTCCTGGATACCAGACAATCCATTCCTGGGACCTTCACTTATAATACCTGGATTCAGTGTTAATTCTATAAGTGCTCAGCATTAGAATGTGGAGAGTCAAGACCCATCTCTCCTGGGCCAGCAGGAGGCTCAGAGCTCAACTCAATATTCCAGGTCCTTAAGAATTTTTAGGTGCATACTGGTGCTAGGAAGAGGCAAGGATGTGAGTTGGATAACATGTCATATTTGTTCCCAAGGCAGATGTGCTCTTTGGGGCACTAGAACACAGATAACAGGTAAGGAGATTCCTTCCAGATTGTCCACTGTTTATTCCAAATCCAAAAGGAAGGGCGAAAATCTCTGGGGCTGAGAGATGAGGAGCAATGGGGAGCTGGGTGAAAGGAAGAATAGACCGAAGGTGAGTAGGGAGGGATCTAGCAAAGGATGCAAGTCACAGACACAGTCTTTGGGAGGAAGACACCTGGCTCTTTTGAGAAACTGACTGGATCACAGTCAGGAAAACTGGATGATTTTGGTGGTTATAAGGATCCACATCTACCTCTGAGTTGAACAGAAGATCAAATCTATTGCAGTAATTTTCAAACATGTATTGGTTTCATGGTTGAATACTTAGAGGAAAACATTTTTACACTTTCCAAGGTAGAGAAAAAGGAAAAATACAAGCACACACAAAAAATAAAATGAATCATTTACAATCTCCCTCCCCAGGATGGTTCCTGTGGATTATTTCTCTATCGTCTCTGCATGCAGAGTTCCTCTGCTATTATGTTGTGTTTTTTTCCATTAAGTTTATTGGTACATTTAAAACAAACAATACAGTTACATTTATGATTAGGATCTTGTACCTTTACATGATATACTTTGATTCTTGTTTCTTCCCCAGGCTATACTCTTAAGTGAAATAAATAGGATACACTTGAGTAAATACCGAGTTTGTTTCTCTGGTGTGAAAAACTAAAAGTGTAAATAAGGTTTAAATGGTATTACATTGTTTTGAAAAAACCTGTCCTTAACATTGTAGTGCAATAAATATTGCCCTAAACCAGAATCCCTTATCTTTATATTTGTATAATATGCTAGGATAGAAATGAAATTGTTTATGCAATCTCCTTTTATTGGAACCTTTACTTATTTCCAATTTTTGCTGTTTTAAAAAGCTTTACAAAATAAGCATTAATAAATACATTTTTGCATGTAACTCCTTAAGCATTTATTTTTGTTATACTTTTTTTTGGTAGTTTTTAGAATGAATCCCAGGTCTTTGGTCATTGCAAGGTAGCACAGCATTACTGAGCTACACACCAAACAATTGTTATGAACAATTTAAGGTTTGGAATATAATTTATGGTTAGGAATACCTAACACGTTCTGCCAATTTGTTTGATTGTCATGGTGAGGAGAAGCCACACAATTCTTGTTTTTATCCCTGGCTCTGGGCTCTGCCTCTATTTTGCTGAGGTTCTCAGGGAAACTGGAACAGGGGTCAGCCTTGGAAGCGAATGGATCAGGTGAGTATTTCTCATTGAGAAGTTCCCACCAGGATCTCCAAGTGAATGACCAGGGCACAAGTGCAGGTACAAAGATCCTTCAAGAGCAAGTTGGTCACTAATGCCCTCCATCTGAGCATCAAACCTCTTCACTCCTCTGCCAGGTGTTATCTCCACTGGCCAAGAACCTCTTTCACAGGGCCATTTCTGAGAGCGGTGTGGCTGCTACTTTTCAAATAGTTACGAAGGGTGTCAAACCCATGGCTGAGGTAAGTCTCATGTTGACAACTCTTCTGCCCTTTCTTTGGTTCTGGTAGAATTATAAGAGGTGTTTCCTACTTGGGTGTTAGCTGAGATTCTCTAAAGACACTGGGTGGAGAATGACTAAGCAGAAAGGACTCCTTCAGGGCTCACACTTAAGTCACATTGTATACATTCTGACAAGTCTTAATGAGAATCATCTTTTCTATTCTCATGAATTCTGCACCAGTTTTAGCATGGGGAGACATACTACTCCTGTGAACTTGTCATATGTATTATAAGTGCAATCATTATATTTACCTATAAGTTGGGAAACTGAGGCTCAAATGCTAGTAAATGGAGGAGGTGTTATTTTCATTCAGAGTGTGATTCTGAACTCCATGTTCTTCAGTCCTCTCTGCCATCTCCATGGAATCTCTCTTGAGACATTCACTTTTGAGAATATTGTGCCCACTTTAGAAGAAACAAAGCACACAGATACTATGTATGTGGTTCATGCCACCATTCCAAATAACACAGACAACATGCTCTGGGACCCAGAATACACCTTGATCTTAATAGAATTTTAAGCCATTCTATACTGTTGATTTTAGGATAAAACCACTCTGTGTACACTGATGGTGGCTTAAAATCTTTTTCTTGAACTCTGCTTTTGTCTATGATCTCTGCAGAAAATGGCTGCTACTGCTGGGTGTGAGACCACCACATCAGCTGCCATGGTTCACTGCCTGCGCCAGAAGACAGAAAATGAGCTCTTGGAGACCCAGAAAATAGTAGGTTAATCCATTGTAATTGTCTTACCCTGTGTACTTTACCCCATATGTTATTGGTTCAGCTATGTGTTTACATGGTGAAACCACCTGAGATGATTGTTTACCTTGTCAGTCAGTGCATCTTTCTGAACCAAACCAGGAATTTTACTTTTTCCTTTTTTATTGTGTAACACCACAAATATAATAATGTCTAGTAATAACCATGAAGAATAGATTATAATTCTCTCCTCTTTTAAAACTTAATATGTTGACATTCTGTTCAGATATAGTATTAGAAATTAAACCCAGTGTTCTGTACAACTAGTAAGAATGAAAAAATATTACGCTTTTTCATATTCTTTTTTCCCATTCAGTTTATTAGTACATTAAAGCAAACAATACAGTTACATTTATCACTGGGATCTTGTACCTTTACATCATATGCCTTGGTTCTTGTTTTTCCCCATACTCCTGCCACCCCTTCACCCCCTTCACCCTTCCATATACAGTTTTCCTATTCTTAAATTAACTACCTTTCTGAATTTTTAAGAATGGGGATATTAAGTATCTAGTTTTTCAGAAAGATGTCACAGTTTATCTGGATGCATTTAGAAAATTCCTCCATTAAAATACAGTAGTGATCCAAGTATCTAGATTTTCTGCAATTTACCCCAGTTAGGGTTCAAAGATAGCTATCTTTCTAACCAGTTATTCAGCTATTACCCATCCATCCATGCACCCATTCAGGCATACATGCATCTGTCTGTCTGTCTGTCTGTCTATCTATCTATCTATCTATCTATCTATCCTGTTCATCATTATTCTTTCATCAATCCAATATATTCATAATATTTCATTAATGTACTTTCAATGGATCCACAACCCATGAGTGATCCAGTCAGCATATATGTCCGCACAATTACCCGATTCTCTAAGAACAATAACACATCCATTGCATCTGTGCTTGTGTTTATTCTTTCATGAATGCATACGTACAGTTCACCAATATGACATGCATTGACCAACCCCATCCACGTACCCTTTTATCTGTGATTTATCTCTTTTTTTCTTCCCACCCTACTCCATTTCTTCCCCCATGATAATTTTGTGAATAGGTGATGTCAGAAGAGTTGTTGCACACATAAATTGAATTATCCCTGCACTAAAAGGAAAGTCCAAGGAAAGGACAGGATTTATTAGTAGGCTAAGAATGTAGATTACAGAGAGAGGATGCTTTCATCTTTGCCACCAGGAGTGATTCTCAGCAAAGATGACACTGAAGACGGATGGATAGTCATGGCAGTGTTTTTGCCACAGGGAAACTTATCAGAACAAATGTCCAGAGAAAAGAGCATACTGCACCCATAGGTACTCTCCCTTTTGTGGTGTTAAAGTGAGCTCTGTAGTCACCTGATCTTCTGACTTCCCTATCTGGATATTGGACACTGCAGGACTCTTCTGGACACTCAAGGCAGTCCTCTAACAGTTTGTTCTGCCTTCATGTCCATAGCTTGGGTCCAATGTGGCCTTGAGCTTTGGGTCCTGGTTCATTTGCCTCAAATAAGTGATCAGTTTTCAAAAGATTAACACCCAGCTGTTTTCTGATGCCTGAAAAGATGTGGAACAAAATGTCCCACCTCATACAGGAGTTGTTGATAACTTTAGGGAAACCCTTAGAACCTAGGATATCAGACCACCATTCTGAGATATTCTAAGTTCATATTGAAATTCATCCATAACTATGTGCTTTCCTCAGTTCTCATACACACACACACACACACACACACACACACACACACGCCCCACTTACAGCTGCACTCCTGGCTAGTGAAGCTATAATCCATAATTGAGGCATCCCTAATGATTGCTTCCCACATAAAGGTTAGATTTGTTAACTGGAGTAGAACATTCCAATCAATTAAATTTTGGTGAATATCAAAAAAAAGTGTGGGCTGAAATGAGCTTGACTGAGCTTGCTTGAGTGAGGGTTTTCTAATGCAAGATGAAAAACTCATTTGTAGGTTTATTTAAGAGAAAAATGTCACATGAAAGCCTCTTCACATAAATGAAAATTTCAGGAGCAGATAGCTTAGGCGATGGATGGATCCAGGTGGTCATTTATCCTGAGAAGGTTTCTCATTACATATTTGGTTTTGTCCTTCCTGAATTCTTAAACTTGATTTACTTGGAGATCTGAGAGGTCAGGTCCTTTGCTTTCTTTATTACAGGACCTGAGTCTTTACATCTTTAAGTTATAGTACTCTATGACGACAGAGTTCGGTTTTGTGGAATCAGACCTCCATCCTTGTGTGTATGTTGCTGAGGCCAAAGAGGCCAAAGCACTTGCCAGAGTAACCCGGAGTATAAGATTTGTGGCACTATTGAAACCCATTGCCCTACTTCCCAGTTCAGTGCTCACAGTCAGTAATTCTTCATCCCATATACTCAGACATCCTCTTATTTTCTTCATTTCTGGCTTCCAAAATATCCTCATTAGAGGAGGCTGCATCACAGCCTTCTACTCTCAGGAGACAAACAACTGGATAAGGGACTCAGGAGTCTTCATTAAGAAAGTCACATCTCAGGCTGGGGATTTAGCTCAGTGGTGCTGCTGCCTGCTTCACAAACCAAGGCTCTGTGTTCAATCCCTGGTAGCAAACAAAGAGACAAAAAACAAATAAACAAACAAAAAACAAGCAAAGCCCTCAAGTTCCCATAGCTAATGAAATGGAGTTGAGGAAGAAGTGTAAAAGAAAGTCGCATCCTTTGGGAGGCCACAGGTTTGAAGAACTGTGCAGACAATGAACCTGTGATCTTAGTTCTAAGGACACACCCCTCCTCCCACCATCTAGGAAACCTCAAGATGGTCCTTCTATCTTTACTTCCTTCCCTACTATTGGATAATGAGTGAAGATGATCTTTCCTTCTTCCCTGCCATCATTGTTGTATCACCAGATACAACTTTGCTACCCAAAGTTCTGCCCTTGGTTTTTCACAGATTTAGCCCCTTTGTTTTGACCTGAGCATCTGTAGTCACTGCCTACTACCAGGGGAGTCAGTAGTTCTGGTGTCACCCTCATGCAGCCAGAACAGAAAACCAGACCCAGTGCATTGCTCTCTACTTCCCCAGGTCTTTTCTGTTGTGACCCTTGTGATTGATGGAGTGATGCTGTCCAGGGCACCAGAAGAGATTCAGGCTGCAAAGAATTTCAGCACTGTCCCTTACATTGTGGGAATCAACAAGCAAGAATTTGGCTGGTTTCTTCCATTGGTGAGACTGTACTGACCACTCAGACAGGTGCACTGCTGTGTCTCAGTATCCTTCCAACCTCTGTTCATACGAGTTCTTCCTCCTTCAGCCCCTATTGGGGTTGTCCTATTGCCGTTAGTGGACACTTCCTCAGAGACCTTCTTCTTCAGGATGGCCCAGCAGTCCCTTGGAGGGTACATATGGGGCAGTCTTTGGCAAAGCATGCTTTGATTGTGTTCCCATTAAAGAATACTGAGATGTCTTGCCTTTTAGGTATACAGAGATAATAGTTGCTCAGATGGAAAAACTCATGATGCTCAGATAGGGAAAGACTGGAGAGTCCATGAGAATCAGGCTGAGGCACAAAAACTACCACTTTGTGTCTGGGTTCATATCTCCTATAGATCTCCACATACATTCTGAAGCCCATCGCAGGAGAGATTCAGAGAAAATCACTTCTGAATTAATTCAAATTGGTTTCTAAAAGGGAAGAAAGGCTTTCCCTCCAGCAAAGGTACTAGATGAAACAAACACTAAGTTGAAGGATAAATAAAGGCATTATTCAGTAGTGGAATGTCAATAGGGAAATGATAAATCATAACAGCTCAAGTCCTGGCACCAGAGGCTGGAGATGTTTCTAGGCTGGGTGAGCACAGGGATATACTGTGAGTGTGAGCTGTGACTCCACATGGCCACACCGAGGGATTTGTCCATCCACGCTCATCTGTAGGAGAATCAGACATGTGTCTCAGGAAGCAGAGATGTAAATTGAGGTGAGCCTTTCTCTGAACTTAGATCTTGGTTCACACATAGAGACCAGCCAGGAGATTGAGTTGCCTCAGATGTTCACATTTCAAATGGCTTCAAACATTTCCCAAAAATCTACTCTGTCACTGGAGAAAACAGTTTTTAACGTGAGATTTTCATCTCAAAGAGCAGAGAAAATATTGCAAGTTTCCAGTTTATAAGGTAATTGTTCTAAGAGTGGGTTTGTAGGTCTGTCTGTGTGCATCAGGCTTAGGCTGGTAAAAACAGCAATTTCACATGAAACCGCTCAGTGATCTTAGGCTGGCCCATCTGGGCTCTGGGCTCACTGTAGGACATGGACTCTAACTGCTAGAAGTCAGACAACAGTTGGGCCAAGTTTGTGGGTACAAAAGTTTGGACAGGGGCATCACATGATGAAAGTTCTGCAGTTATCATTTCAGAGGGATCCCAGAAGTTTTCAAGAGCCCAAAGCCATATTGCTTGATTTTGCCTTGCTAAATCACCAGAGTCTTTGTGGTGCATGCCTTGTGCCCTTTGCATCTGGCCCTCTTCATCAACATTGCCCTTCTCTAAATGTTCTCTCACTCTTGGATGACCACTGTGCCACCTGCCCGATAAATACATATATTTAAGGCTTCCTGTTTGGACTCCCTGAATTTCTGTACATGAGTCTGTTTGTTCTATTGGTTTCTCAAATTCACAAAGGAATTGTCAAGGCCCCCAAATGAAACTTCATTTTTCATTAGTTTAGTTGTTTTGGTCTGTTTGTTTTTTCTTGTGCATTCCTGAGGATTTACAAATGCTTAACCACCATTTTAAACAGATTTTGCGTGATTCCTTATCTGAAGACATATTGGACCAGAAGACAGGCACATTTGAAAAGAATGCCAGAAGCTATTTTGTAAGAGGCTGGGAAATCATGGGGATTAATTCAGAAACAAAGAAGGGTTTGATACCTGACCCAAATGCCATACAAATTCAATGGCAGAAGCAAAGATTGAGAACTGGGATTCTGCCTGTATTTTGTTCCCCCTACATCACCTCCAAAGATGGGTTTTGCATGGGGCTCAAGAGGTTCATAATTAATAAAGCCTCTTAACTGCCTGGAAAAGCCATATTACTATTTTATAAGAGGGGTGGTTGATTTCTTGATGCATTTCAGAACATGTCTGATAATTCAATTCACGTGGCCATTGAGAAGTATTTAGGAGCAACAAATGACTCTGTCAAAAAGCTGGAACTCTTCAAGGACTTACTCACAGATGTATTTTTTGCTGTCCCATCTGTGAATGTTGCCCGTGGACACAGAGGTGAGTCTCCAGCACTGCACAGGAGTGGGGCACCATGTTACCAGTTTTTGTCTCTGAGTTAGCCAACTCAAAGTGTAGACAGATGTGGAAATTACTCAGGGTGAAACCTCAAATGTGATACCATATGGCCGGGAGACAGGGAACTGTTTTATTTTGATGTCTACCAGTATCGGACTCTAGAATAGGATCCAAATGCATGTAGTTAATTTGGAATTGATCTCAGAAAACTTTAACAGAGAGATGAGGAAGTGTCACAGGTAAGAGATGGAAGCCGTCAGTGCCGCACAGCAATGCATGTGTCTGCTGCACGGAACTGAAATACGCCTTCTGGCCTTTTCTACTTTCTTCTTCTGAAACTCCCATAATGTATTATGTTGAAGATATTTTTCTAATCATAACCACTGCTGTATTATCAATAACTCACATCCAGTGTATTCATATTGGGTGCATTATAGTCCTCCATTCTGTCATTCAATAAATGTCTCATCCAATCTTCATTCCATTTCAGCAAGCCATGTGGCCCTAACCTGGGCAAGAAGCTTTCTTTAAACTCTGTTTCTGTCCCCTGATGAAACCTAGAGGTTCTCTGAACAGCTGAAGACTTTGAGAAAGTCCTGGGGTGCATCTGGTCATGGGAATTGTGCATGGCCCATGTCTTCACAGATGCTGGGGCCCCCACCTACATGTACGAGTTCCAGTATCGCCCAAGCTTCTCATCACCTTTGAAACCTAGCAGTGTGGTAGGAGACCACGGGGATGAGATTTTCTCAGTATTTGGTACACCATTTTTGAAAGGTAATGAATCTTTGCTGGCTATGAACTTGAAGTGAGGAGGCATGGCAACCAGTCTTAGTTTGCTGGTGTTGAGTAAATTTAACTTTCTGTCCTAATCTTGGTTTACTGATTTGCTGTCACATGGCTGAGCTACAAAGAGTAGTCCTCAGCTTCTCTCCTGGTATGACATTATGAGGGTTAGGGTATATTCCTGTGTCACCAATCATAGTCTGTCTCAGAATAATGACCTGAGACATCAATAAGAGAGGTGGTTGTTTACCTGCAGTTGCAGGCTTAGAGACAAGATATCCCTGCTTGATATCCCACTCACAAGAGTGTATGAGAATGTGAGGTGAGGGTGTCATCTCCATTTTGGTTATCCTGAATGGACTATAACATATCTGTCTACCTGTCATTTAATCTATGCATGTACAACTCCTATAGTTATATTTATAATATATTTAAGCATATAATATTTTTTTTATTTTATTGAGTTTATTGGTACATTTTAGGTATACAGTACAGTTACATTCATTATTGGGATCTTGTACCTTTACATGACAGGTGGTCTTGGTTCTCGATTTTTCCCCTTGTCCCTCCCCTCCTTTCACCCTCTCCTCCCCTCCCCATTTACAAACACTTTATTTCCATTTTTTCATTTTCTCATAGTTTTTCCCTTGTTACCTTTCCCCTACCCTTACCACTTTCCCTACAACTTTAGCCCTTTTCTTCCCATTTCACAATGTCAGTTATCTCATTAGGATCTTACGTACTATTATAGCTTTTCACACCAGAGAAACTATTCGGTATTTACACATGTGTGACTTACTTATTTCACTTAGGAATATATCCTCAATATGTATCCATTTTACTATGAATGAATCTAATTTCCCATTCTTTATGACTGAGTAGTATTCCATTTTATAGAAAAACCACATCTTCTTTATCCAGTTTCCAAATGATGGGCAAATGGGCTGTTTCCAAGTTTTAGCTATTACAAATTGTGCCGCTATAAACATTGGTGTGCATATATCACTGTGGTATTATTCCTTTAATTCTCTTGGAAAGATACCCAGCCAGAGGGATGGCTGGGTCAAATGGAACCTCCAGTCCCAGCTCTTTGAGGTATCTCCATATTGATTTCCATAGTGGTTGCACCATTCTGCACTCCCACCAACAATGCAGAAGGGTTCCTTTCTCCCCACAACCCTGCCAACATTTGTTATTGTGTGATTTCTTCATAGCAGCCGTTCTTTGTGGGGTGAAGTGGAATCTCAGTGTTGTTTTCATCTGCATCTCTCGAATGACCAGGGATGTGGAACATTTTTTCATGTATTTACTTGCTGTTTTTACTTCTTTGTCTGAGAAATGTCTGTTCATTTCAGATGCCCATTTTTGAATCGGATCTTTATATTTGGGGGTGCTGATTGTTTTGAGTTCTTTATATATAGTACATAATAGTCTTTGTCTGAGGAACAGCTGGTAAAATATTTTCCCCACATTGTAGGTTGTCTCCTAGTTCTGTTGATGGCTTCTTTTGCAGTGCAGAAGCTTTTTAATAAGATGAGATTCCAGTTGTTGATTCTTTCTGCTAGTTCCCATGCTACTGAGGATTTGTTCATAAAGTCTTTTCCTATGCCAATGTCTTCAAGAGTTCTAGGCATATAATATTTAAAGGAAAGTATTCATAAATACCTTCACTCTCCAGCTTTTGCCTATGACTTGTGACCCACATTATGTATGCTCATGTCAAGAGTGCTTCTGGACATCTCCCAGTTGGGTGACTCCTTAGGACCTTTGTTGTTCTCATAATTTTCAGAATCTATGAGTATGTAAATATGTTTAGAGATTGAGAAAAAATCCCCAAGGGCAAGCAAATGAGCAGGAAGAAGAAATTCTTGGTGTGACACTGTGATAGTGTGGGGGTTAGAGTGGGCAGGTGAGCACAGAAGATAAAACCTAAGTATCTCACACTTGGATTGAATGCCTATTGCTGAGTCCTAGATCAGTCATTCTCAAATGACACAGCACATTAATTAAAATGGAATTTCTTTAAAACGTAAATTTTCTCTCAGTAGACATAAATTAAGGGCTAAAAGTCTGGCCTTGCAAAAGTGCTGCTGGAGTTGCAGGTCCATGAACCCCGTTTTAAGTCACAAAGACTTTTTCATTCTTCCTCCCAGAGGGGGCCTCAGAAGAGGAGCTCAATCTCAGCAAGATGGTGATGAAATTCTGGGCCAACTTTGCTCGGAATGGGTAAGGCTGTTGGCACATACAGAACAGCACTGATGGACAAGCTGGGGAAGTGCGTGGCATACCTGTTGGGAATGGGTGGCTTTGCCAGCTTGAGTGATCAAAGGCCTGGCCCTGTGTCAGCAGTACTTTGATACCGAGATCGCTCTCCAGAGGCACAAGTGCCCCAGGAGATCGAGAGCTCCTTATCTGTGGAGCTGCTTGAGCCTCTTGGCAGAGATTAGCCAGGGGATCCCAACAGGTCTCTGAGAAATGCGGGCACAACTCAGCAGCCCTGGGGAATTTCTATTTGATTCTCTTTCCAGGAACCCCAATGGGGAAGGGCTTCCCCACTGGCCAAACTATGACCAGAAAGAAGGGTACCTGCAGATTGGCATCACCACCCAGGCTGCCCAGGGCCTGAAAGCTGAGGAAGTGGCTTTCTGGACTGAGCTCTGGGCTAAGGATGCAGTGGCGAAGCCATCCTAGAGAGCACCCATGAGTGGTGAATGAGAGAACCAGCTAACCTCGGGAGCCTGGAGCAGCCAACATAGACATATTCTACAGAGGGGGGCTTTTCTGTCACGGAAACTTTGTCTTGTGGACAGTGGAGAATTGTGTGGTGGGGATGTGCAAAGGCCAAGGAGGGGAAAGCTTGTTCTTCTGGTGTCAGGAGAATAAATGTTTATTTGGTGAACACATCAGTTTGTGTCTTGTGTTGGAAATGGAGTCAAATCTATTTTCCTCGGAGAGAAGATGAAGACAGAGGCAACATCAGAGTATGATGTCTCTGCAGGGATCATTTGGTGAAGGAGTTCCCTGATCTAAGAGAAAACAAGCTCATTGGCAAAGAGGGGTTATAAACCTTGGCTCAGCTTCCTCCTCCAAGTGGATAGTGTTGTTTCATGAGCTAAAATGAGTGTATAAAATCCCTGGGAACCAGAGGCACAAGTTGGGGTTATATCCGCCACAGACACCTCTTTGTTGACGTCTGCCACATGTTAATGAGAAAGTGTGGGGTCAGGTACTAAGAGGGAGATAGCCTGTCTCCAGCTGTGCGAGCACAGAGCCCTGCTCAGAACTTTTCCCATGAAGGATCAAAATCCTGCAATGATTTTGGGGAAAGAAGCAAAGATTCTTCTCCCTTAGGGCCTTGGTGAGACTTGTTAGGGTTGAAGGAAGAGAAAAAAATTAAATTCTGTACACCTCTAGATCAGACAGGGAAATTGTCTGAGTCAAGGTAATTAGATATCTTTCATTCTGCGTGGAAGGCAGGATCACTGAGATAGGCCTATTCCCATGTGTGAGGAACACAGAGTTCCTCTAAGTTGAGGCTACCCTCAGAAAACTGACAAACACAGGGAAATGGCCTGCTACTTCTCTCTTAAACACTGGTCTGTTTGGTGAACTGGAAGAGAATGTCTGACTGGATCTTCTCTATTCAGGCTAACTTGTCACCTTCCCTAAGTAGGCAGTGCATCAGGTAAGCCCAAGCCAGGCATTTGTAAAAGGGCCTTGAATGCACACTGGACATCAGTGGGCATCATATGTTCTTGTCCTTTCACCGCACTCCAAATACCCATGCACTCGAAGGGCAAACAATCCTTATCAGGGACCCAGATAGTTTCTGAACACTATACAGACAAGGGACATATTCTCTCTGGACAAGGGATTAGAAAGAGCTCAGCGTCTATCAGTTGAGTTACAGGATGTTTTTTTTCTAACCTCAGGACAAATCATTATGTGTATAGTTTCAGTTATTTAGAAGGCTTAAGCTGGATTATTTCTTCAGCTCAGGAGTTTGAAACTAGCCCTGGCAATAAAGTAAGAATCTATCTACAAAAGGATGCTTCCTTCTCGCTTTTTTTTTTGTTTTATTTTTTTGGGTTTTTTTGCACCGGGAATTGAACTCAGGTCCTTGCGCTTGCAAGGCAGGCCACCGAACTGCTGAGCTAAATCCCTGGCTCTTCTTACTTTTGTGTGTGTTTTTCTGTGAAGTGATAAGTAGGGAAGTTTAAAAAGATTTGTTGAGAACAGTTGATGGCCTCACATGGACCTCTTGAAACTCACACATCTTCACCATGCTGTCCTGGAGACACACACATGTTCCCCCTTAGAAAATTTCCCACCTGAGTTACTGAGTACTGGAGAAAGACTGGTGTCATACAGCTGAATTAGAAAAACCTAAAGAGAAACAAAGTTCTGTGTAGAGTGGACACTAAAGGAAGAATATTCCAGGAACTCGAGTTGGTAGGATAAACACCTGGGATTATAATCTTTGTACCAGAGATGAGGAGGTCCTGTTTTAATCTATTTTCAGGTTTTCTTGTTCTCTGTGGGACTGAGCAAGCTATTCTGGTCCATTGCTGCTGTTGGTTTTAAGAAAACCATGGGCTGTTACAGTGACCATCTCTTCCTAGTAGACCTTGGAAGTAATTGGCCAAGCCTGAACTTGAACTGCCACATTGATATGAGGACTTCAGCCAGCTTTGCACTTGTGATAAGGATATCCAGAAAGCATAATTTGTTAACCAGAAATGACTAATCTGTTCTGTTTTCTTTCAAGCAACAGTGCTACCCACAGCTCTACTTACACCTGGTTACTACCATGTTCTACACCAACAGTGTGGAAAGCCCATGTGTCTGGCATGGGAAGACTTTTGGCCTTGTTGGCAGCCACTATGCCTATGGTGATGTTTCTATCATCACTCCAGCAAAGACTGAAGAACAGAAGCCACCATCCAAGTGGATCTATGAGGATGATTTCATGACCAACCTGGCAAAGGATGAAACAGAGAAGTCATCATCAAAGTGATTCCCAAAAGATACAGATATATGGCAGTGTCTGATGGAGGCTTAGGTTGTCTCAGCCCCCAAATTTGCTGCTTGAACAATGCTAAGAGGACATTTCAATAGATTGCTGGCAAAGCCATTTTGTTGAGACAATGAACACAGGCCAGACTAAGCAAGCTAATGCCTCTTAAGCAGTGATCTCCCTGTCTATCACTGCAGATAGAATGTCATCCTTTTTGCCTGTGCCTTTTTCAGCACAGGAGTCCCCTTCCATGTCACCTGCCTTGGAAAAGGAGACATGGGAACAAGTTTGAAAGGAGAGGCTGCTTCAACCATGGTGACAGTATTCCACAGTATCTTGCTGGCTGGAGCACTCTGTTTAGAGGACAAACACTGGGCAGCTGAAGAGAACTAGTGCATCTTCTGCTATGACCTGCACTGCCGACGGCTAGAGACACAATCCAAACTCTTTGGCTTGAACGTTTCTCCGCAAAGCAGATCCTTTTATGCCACTTGCCATGGGAAAGAAGCTTCAGAAACTGAGGTTTGAAATAAGAGGATACTTTCAGCATCCCAGGACTGACTCTGGTCTCAAAGAAGGCCTGACATTCCTCTGACCAAAACTCTATAGTCCCTTCTTGGGCAGAAGAAAAGACAGTTTTTTCTCTGCACAAGGTGGAGGAGGTGTCAAGTGAACAGTGGCCTTTCTGAACCTGTTCTACCAAGTGATTTAGTGTCCTGAATCATTGCCATCAACGATCAGCACAAAGCAGGAGGGTCTAGGCTTCTTCGTTTGGATGGAAAAAACAGATGTTACACAGGAAGCCTATGTGTATGGATCCTTGAGGCAGAATAATAAGAACTTTGGAGACTGCTTTGTAAAGAGTTGAAATCAGATGGTGAATGCCCGGAATTCTCCCTCCTCTGGGAGATTTATGGGCTCTTTAGTTTCTGAGCTTTATAGTCCCAGTTGTGTTTTGAATGTTGAATAAAAAAATTTTTGTAACAGTTTTTGACTGAAAATCAAGCTTGTCCTAGGTCACCTTCAAAGCACTCACCTCTCTCCTGTATATTCTAACACAGAGGACCCACTTTTCTGGGGTCTTCCATCTTCAGAGAATCCGTGGGCAATTTATAACAGTTTGTAATGCTGTGATGCCCACAATGATGCAAATTGGGGCAATACTCAGGGGACTTCTTTAAGATATGAAGAGACTCTGGGTGTAGATCAGTGGAAGCACATATGCTTAGCATTAGGTGCTGTATTCCGTGCCTAACATCACAAATATTTTCTCTGTCTGTCTGTCTCTCTCTAAGAGAAATAATACTGAAAAGATGTTTGATCATCTCTTAGTCTACGTATCCACTGTCCACTCATAAAACAAGTATTTATTGAGCACTTAATGCATTTCAGGAACTGTGCTACTTGCTTGGGATAAACTGATGAACTGGACAACTGAAGATCCTGTCCTCAAAGCACCCACCAAAGGAAATAGGAACCAAAATGCAAATTCTTGGTCTAAGGTCATAGCTCAGTATTAGAGGGCCTCATATATTCCAAGCACTGATTTCAATCTCCATCTCCACTAAGAGCATTCAAGACGTTACACTCACTATAAATAAAAATAAATATTGAGTGATACGGGATTCCACATTAGACAGGTATACAGGTTTTTCTGAAGAGGGAAGACTTCAGTAGAGGGGAATGAACAAGTCATGTGAAAAGCTAGAGGAAGAGTATTCCCAAAGAAAATACATTTGTAAAGATGCTGAAGAAGAGTAAGACCTAATGGTACATGTTGTTAATCTCAATACTCATGAGACATAAGAGTCACAGGTTCCTGGGCAATCTATGGAATACAGCCACACCATGTATTAAAAAAGAACAATTTGATAAAATGAAATAAAACCACAAACAAAGAAAAGTCCCAGAGCCTGTGCATTAATGCAGGCATGTTATCCCAGTAATCTGGAGGCTGAGATAGAAATATTAAAAGTTGAATCTATTGTGGGATATTTTGCAGTGGGGCATCTGCGAGAATATATTTTGAATGACTGGAAAATCTACCACCTTTGGGTGCAAGGGAAAAGACAACTATTGATAAAGACAGATATTTTCCTGTGCTTCCAGAAGGGCTCCTAAATACATTTTCCTGCATAGATATAACCTCTAGGGGTCTGGGCAGTATCCACGGGGAACTGACTGCCAATTATGTTTTCCAATTCAAGTGTGAGTTTACAGCCTCAGAGCAGGGAAGGTGGTCTGGGTAGGGAGCAAGGTTCAGGCACCACTGTAACTTTTGTGAGTTATCCGTTAGATCCTGTCTCAGTGAACATAATTCAGAAGAAGGAACTGGTAGGTGGTGAAAGAGAACTATTTCAGGAGGAGCATTCACAGTGAGAGTCTTTGCCTCAGCAAGGCTAATTTTGATTAGCTTGAATGTGTTTCTAGAAGTAGAGATCCTTTTTGGTGAACTTATATGGCTGAGCATGCCCCTCACTTGTTGGCTTTGGGATGCCCTGTTGTCTCGCTCAGTACCTAGCAAACTTCATGTGACTGTGAAACAGAAGCTGCTGGCAGGATTTGGAGGACAGCCTTTCACAGGACACATGGAATCTAAAGTAGATTTTGGGATTTAATTTGTAGCATGTTGTGATTTCCAACATAAGTGGTCTTTTCATTTGCTTCATTTACAACCATTTCCACTGAGGGAGGATTCAGTGCATTCTGAGATTTCACACTCCAAATCACCATTTGTCAGTGAGAGGTGTTGCCATTTCTTTAGGAGGTTGATTTCAGGGATTGAATTGAGGACCTCAGGCAAGTTAGGCAAACACACTCAATTCCTATTCCTATTGTTTGTTTTGAGTTTCAGATGAAAATGGGCCTCACATTCCCACTTTGTAAAAT